TCTCTCTCTCTCTCTCTCTCTCTCTCTCTCTCTCTCTCTCTCTCTCTCTCTTTCTCTCTCTCTCTCTCTCTCTCTTTCTCTCTCTTTCTTTCCCTCATTCCATACTACTGAGTATCTATCGAGTATTGAGTTTTATTTTTTAATGTTATGTTTTTCCTTTCTGTTTTGTTTTTGTACTTTTTAGATAGTATTGTCTGATGCTTTTCATTCCCCTTGTCGTCGGAATTGCTTCTTTTTTTTTTTAGTGTACGTATGCAAATATGTTGATGGAGTGTGTGTGGGGGGGAGGGGGAGAGAGAGAGAGAATGGAGGTGGAGGGGATGTAAGTAAAGACAGAGCGATTGGCCGATAAAAAAGAATGATTTAAAAATTATTGTAAAAAAAAATATTTGTTTTTTTGTTTTTTTGTTTTTTGGGTTGACGTGAAGTGATTACTATCGTCTCTTGCATGCTCCCGAACGTCCCGGTAATCCTCGTCTCGCAAATGTGGACGCTAATTCCGCGGTTGTTTCCCTTGCTGCTGTTCGCTATCTCTCCATTCCCCTTTGCCCTATTCTGACGGAGTGTTACAAGATCTACCTTCACTTTTCAAGCTCCTGCTTCAAACAGAATTGGAGCGCATTAACTTTGTGTGGACCATGGCATTTCATGGTTCTGCTTATTGATTCAATCCTGCATTTATGGGTTTGCTTTGGACCTCTTTCATGTGAGTGGGTGGTCGGTGGGTGCTCTGGTGTGATTTGCTCCTTCTTTCCTATCAAACACTTATCGTCCTGATCTCTTCTCCTTCTTTTTTATATTTGTTACTCTGTTGTAACACATGTAATCTTCCGCACTTATATGACCTTATAGTGTTGCAAGTGCCGTAAAACCTCTTTCTTGTCTTCGCCTCGTTATTTTTGCGGATGTGTGTTGATAAGCCCCTCGCTCGGTGCCTTATGTGGATGCGGGCGCCGCAGGTCCCAGTACCTTTAGTGCTAATTTTTTTAATCTACTGTGCTTGGGCTGTCCTGTCAGAGATGCCATAATAAAGAGGCCTTCTTTTTCAAAAAGCTTCCATCCTTTTTAAAATAAAATAAAACTCATGTGTGGTTGGTGGCACTCTGGTGTGGTTTTCTCCTTCTTTTCTTGTCCTATCACACGTCTGTCATCCTTATCTCTTTTTCCTTTTCTTCGTATGTTACTCTCTGGTAACACCTTTAATCTTCAGCTCTTATATTATTATGACTTGTGTTGCAAGTGCCGTAAAAAGGTATTGAAAGTAAACGTAAGTGAAACTCAACACTCAGAGCTGAGTTGAGTACAGTGCAAGGATAAAGGGAGGTGTGTCTTTGTTGGTGAAGTCTCAAGTGAGTGAGAGGCTGAACTAATCGCTTTCTCATCTTTCAGTGCTCATTTGATGTCATGCGTTTTTGGAAAAGAAATGTAAAAAAAGACAACTTCAAAACCCCTAGAAGAAAAGGGAGGGGCGGGTGGGTGGGTGGATGTATGGAACAGCGGAAATACTTACCTTATTAAACTGTAGTATAATTTTCCGGGCAAGCTGAGCCCAGGGCTGGTTCTAGGAGTTGTGTGGAGATGCACAGCGGGGGAAGGTGGGTGGGAGGTCGTGTCTGTGATGAGATTCCCGGATTGAAAAAAACTTCCGTGCCCAGGAAAGGGAAGGGGATGGCTTTAAGGAAAGATGGGGTGCGTCCTTGTGTGTGAAGCTTTAAAAAAAGAACAACTCTGTCTTTCTGTCTGCCTGTCTGCCTGCCTGTCTACCTCTCCATTTATCAAGGCTTTTGTCTGTTCGGTTTATCTGCTGGTGGTTGAAGGGCGCAACGGGGAAATTCTGCTTCTTTTCTTTCCATTTGTTTTGTCTGTCTCTGTTTGTATTTCCTCCAGAACTAAATGGCTGTTTTTGTGATGTGCCTCACTTCAAACTCTGTTTTAGTGTCTTTCTGCCAGTGTGTTTGTCTGTAAGGTACGTGTATGTAAATATGCATTTGTATGTAATGTTACAGTAATGTATATGTCTTGAAACAAACAAGTAAAACCTGGACCGTGTATGTCTCTTCCTCCCCCCCCCCCACCCCGAATTCCGTCTGGGCTTCTTCACCAACAGCCCGACGACCAGGTACTGGTGGTGGGTATGGCGGACAAGATGCTGTCCATCCAGCACAGGAAGGAAGAGAAAGAGAGCGACGAACACAAGGTCCGACAAACACGCAAAAGTGGGCGCACCAGGGGTCACGCACACACCATGAGGACGTTCGTGCCCAGCAAAGTAAGGGCTACTTTTGTTTGATAATGCTGTGCCCAGCAAAGTAAAGTTTACTTTTGTTTGATAATGCTGTGTCCAGCAAAGTAAAGTTTACTTTTGTTTGATAATGCTGTGTCCAGCAAAGTAAAGTTTACTTTTGTTTGATAATGCTGTGTCCAGCAAAGTAAAGTTTACTTTTGTTTGATAATGCTGTGTCCAGCAAAGTAAAGTTTACTTTTGTTTGATAATGCTGGGCCGTCTGAAATGTACTTCTTTTGTACTCCTCTCCACATGCCAGGTTTGAAACAGACATTGGCAGTCATGGTTCTCCGCTCATATTTTAGCTCACATGCTCTATAAAAAACACAACCTATGTTGTCGTGGTCTTTTATCTTCACCCAACTATTCAAGTTCTTTATGTAAATTATTCTTTATCTACTTTTGCCTCTTTTACCTTCAGTCAAATTTTGCGTATACCTCCTTCTTAAAATTCCACCTAAGCCTTTCTGGAGGCAAGGTTCTCCTTTTCAGAAATATTATTTCGTATGTAATAGTCTAATTAGAAAGAGGTCAGCATCTTGGTTTTTTAATATTTTGAGGGCACTGGTTATTAATAACTTTGTTACAGGGGGTGAAATCTTTTTAATTACCCTGCTATCTCAGTTGTTGCCATGCTGGACTATGATGCGTATGATCCTTGTTCCTATCTCTAGTGGAGTCTAGGAAGGTGACCTGGAATATAAGGTTTTGGGGAAGATTTTATGTCTAATCACCAACTTGGCTCGATTCTTTTTACAATACATGTATATGTTAAAGTGATGAAAGACATGATGTTACACCGGTACTATACCATATTGTACTTAAGTATACTATACTGTATTATACAATGGCATCGTGTATGGAATTGCACTGCACTGTACTGTACTGACCTGAAGTTTACTTTTAGTCTTATTGCTCCACCTTTGCTATTTCAGACAGACAGTATTGTGACAATGAAGAGAAAAGAGCTCCTTGCACCATATGACAAACACCTGAAAACTTTCAACCACCACAAGGCTCTTGATGCGGCTCTTTCGGTTTGTAGCAGATATATACAAATTAGGATTACTGGCCTGTTTAGCCTGTCTTTATTCATCTGATGACATATGTATATGGTCTAAGTTTGTGCTTTCTCATGGTAAAAGTCATGCTCTTCTCTTGGAATTTTAAGTTTCCTAACTGTTACTTTTCAGGTTAGTGTGGATGTTCTAAAATTCAAACAAGATTTGAAAGTTGTGTGTACTTTGTACTTGTTTTAGCTTAGAACACTTTCATATTGAAACTGGTTCCCAAGAATCCGTACTTGCCAGGATGTTTTCCTAATCTGCTTCTTCCATGTAGCGCACAAATATAAAATTATATGATTTTTAGTAGCTGTACCAGTATTTTTGGGGGTCTTTTTTTTGTTTTTGTTTTGTTTACTTGTGGGGTGGGGATGGACGCCATGTTAAACCAGCTGGTAGCGCAAGTTGGCGTCATAGAGGTCTAAATCAAAAGTTAGATTTACTATTCATATGGTCTGCTTTTGTGAAAGTTATGGAATTGAGATAGATGCATATGTGGGAAAATTTTTCAGCTTAAACAAAATATATTAAAATCGTCCATGATTGCCACATTAGTGTATGTGTACAAAAAAAAGACTATCTGATCACTTCTTTTGGCCATCCCCTTTTTGTTTATTTTACTCTTGTCCCTCAGTGTACTTTTGCAATGCAGTAAATGATACTGTCTTTACAACAATAACTACTCCAATTGATATTTCATGGCAGCTGAGAATCCGCAAGACCACTCCAGAAGTGACAGTGAGCGTCCTTCAGGAGCTGATCCGACGTGGCCACATCCGGCCGGCACTCTCAGGTCGTGATGACTCCTCGCTGTGCATGCTGCTGCAGTTTATCCAGAAGTGAGTGCTTAAACTTTATACCTTTGTGTGTGTGCTGGAGAGAGGTCCCAGTTATCAGCAAAGCTATTTTTGATCAAAGGGTGAAAAGGCCAAAATATCGTACCCGATCGAACATTTTGTTCCATCAGAAAACACTTGTTTATCTATGTCTTAACATGTTGAAAGGATTTTATAATATTTGAGTCCAAATACTTTTTTATCAATTATTTTTGCAACATGCTGTTCTTCAGTTAAGGTTAGAAATTACTACTCAAGATAATAGAAAAAAATTTAATCAGTGTATTAGAATTGAATTTGCTACTAGAATATGCCCTTATTTCAATATCCAAAATTTCCGACAACTGGGACCTTTCTCCGGGCACACACACATTTAATTTAAAAAATACAGAAGGTACTGTGAAATAGTCTGAATGGTTGCAGATGTTCAAAGTGTGAGACCAATTGGGGTTTGAATCTTTCTTGTCTTTGCAAAATAACTTCCTTTCAGCTTGGTGTTTTGTCGAGGGATAATTGGCTCCATATTAGATAAAGACTTAAAGCCTACTTATTGGTAGGTTAAGGTGGGGCGGGGGGCATCATTAACTTCAACAAGCACACAATTTTAAAAAACAATAACCTTAGTAGTTATTTCTTTCTTTCCTATCGTCTTTGAGATATGTTGCTGTGACGTATTCCTAGGGTATTCTAATGCTGACTTAGTCCCGTTGGTGTAGCGTTAGCTGAGTCATCTTTCAGAATTTCGATAAATGGACTTTTACCTTCTCCAACTGATGAATGTGTTTCCAGCGTCGGAAAAGTAATCCACACTGTTTCATGACGACCCTAGAATTTATTGAAACCAAGCCGCGTCAGTCAGTCTTTGTAGCAAAGGGGGAACACAGCGCATTGTGCTGTTGTTCCGAGCACAAATGAGTTCTTTAGTGAAGGAGACTGATGGGGTGTTAAAAAATTAATGAGCCCGCATATGTTTTCTCCACTTTCACCTGTCAAACCGGAGAATGTGATCCACTGGTTTGTCGTGCTTGATGTTTTACTTTTAGTACGATTAGCCCTGTGGGGTTTTTTTCCCCCTGCTGTTTCCTTAATTTGTGTTGATATGTGAGTTTTTGTGGAAATCGATTAACGAGCTTGCTGTTTGTCGGGATTTTTTTTTTGGATGGTTTTCTCTCTCTCTCTCTCTCTCTCTCTCTCTCTCTCTCTCTCTCTCTCTCTCTGTCTCTCTCTCTCTCTCTCTCTCTCTCTCTCTCTCTCTCTCTCTCTCTCTCTGTCTCTCTCTCTCTCTCTCTCTCTCTCTCTCTCTTGCTCTTTATGTATTAGGTAGATGGTTGGCGGGTGCTCTGGTGTGGGTTGCTTCTTCTTTCCTTACAGAAACTATCGCCCTTATCTCTCCTTCAGATGGACGTTATACTCGGAGGTCCCGATAGGGGCGTTAAACCCATACCATTTCACCTTTTTTTTTAAATCTCTCCTTCTTTTTTTGTTTGTTACTTCTGTGTAACACCTCTACTCTTCGGCATGTATAATATTATGACTTGAATGTGTTACAAGTGCGTAGTACTCTTACTAAAACTAAAATTATTATAATAAAACATGTACACATATACATGTGTATACATGTAAGTGCGCGGTTTTCTTTCTCCTGTCTGTCAGCGCTCCCCGTTCCTGTTCCCTTCTTTACCCCCCCCCCCCCTCCTCTCCCCCCGGTCCCCACAGCACTGGCCTTGTTAACCCCATCAAGTCATAGGGTCTTGATAGCGTATCGTTAAAATCAACCCATGCAAGCCAAGCGAACGAAGCTTGTCGCAGCAGCTGCTCTTGTGATTAACTGGAGTGAAACAATGTTGGGCCAACAACAGTCTTGATCCCTCATCCCACAGAGCTGGGAAAAGGGAATGGATGATAACTTTGAGTAGGCCTATAGTTGGTTTGTTTGGGTTTTTAAAAATATTTTGTTTTTTATAATAAATTTAACTCCTTGCCTACCACTAAAACAAAAAGGGGCCTTGGTCATTTAGAAAGCTTTTTATCAGTCAGGGTAAATAGAGTAAATAGAGTGGGGGTTTGCGGGTGCTCTGGTGTGGTCTGCTCCTTTTTTTCCTGTCAAACATCTATCGTCCTGATCACACCTCCTTCTTTTTTGTGTTTGTTACTCTCTTGTAACACCTCTAATCTTTGGCACTAATATGACTTCATTGTGTTGCAAGTGCAGTAAGACTCTTGCTAAAACAAATAAAAAGAGTGTATGAAGTAGGTGGTAGGCGGGTGCTCTAGTGTGATTTGCTCCTTCTACCTTGCTCTCCTGTTATCTAGAGTAGATGAAGGTAATACATTCCTTAATGGGACTTTGATGCAATGAACTCTGCTGTCCACTTCTTTTCAAGGTTGCTTTAATCATTATGTTTTGATGTGGCCATCATCTACTGACATGCTGTAAAATGTTATGCATAACTTGTCTATCTAACCTTCCCGACGAAGTTATGTGTCAGTCCTGCCTGTCTTTTTGCTAATTCTGTGGTCTCAGCTTCATTGGTGGCCCTTGCAGAGATCCATGCAGTGCATCGCAAATTATCGTCACACACACACACACACACACACACACACACACACACACACACACACACACATACAACACACACACACATACATACACACACACATTCCTTCTCCCTCACACAAACACAGAGAGAGAAGAGAGAGAGAGAGAGAGGCGGGCTGGGAGAGAGCACAGACATACACTTATAGAAATGCATGATGCTTTGTCAGCTGTCTGAAGTTGGGTTTTTCGCGTTGTCTTTTTTTTAGCGTCTCGTCATCTTCTTGTTTAGTTTTCTCGTTTCGGCTCCTAGGTTTGATGACACTACGTATTTATTGTTTAATTTTGCAGCGACGGGTATCAGAAAGAAATATTTTTATGAGGTATTTTGAGGAGAGATAAAAAGCACAATAATTTGGCACATGTTTTTATTGTTCTTATGTTGTTTTTGTTTTGTTTGGGGTTTTTCATATCGTTTTTTGTTTGTTGTTGTTGGGTTGGGGTTTTTTGTTGTTGTTTTTTGAGTGGGAGGGGGTTGGCTTGGGTGGGGTTTTTGTTGTTGTTGTTGTTGTTGTTGTTTTGGGGTGTTTTTTTTAGGTAGGAACGGAGTTGCATGTTCTAATGCTTTGAGGGTTTATTTTTTTAATTCTTCCTTTTTCTTTTTCTTTTTTTTTTTTTGGTGCTAGTATTGAGGGAGGGTGGGGTGGAAGATGGTTCCCGGAAAAGAATAGTTTTATAACTGCGTGTATTACTTCTGTTCTGTTCCGTTTTTCTACCAATGGGTGGAACACCTTGCTGTGTCGGGGATAGCCGCCTTCTTTCCATATGTGGGGTTCGTCGTGAACGTCACTTGTAATATTCTTGTCTTCCTTTTTTGTGATATGGTTTAGATTTGCTCTCTGGAAGTTCCTGAATTTTGATCGTTTGGATTGTTTTTTATCGCTCGATGTGTCATATCAGAGACTGACCTTGATTCATAAACCCCACCTTTGAAATTTTGATTCATAAACCCCACCTTTGAAATGACTCATAATCAGGTATGTAAAGCACAATGCAGAACTCGTCCTTTGGTGGGTAGTAGTAGTAGGAGTAGGAGGACGACAACGACGATGATTGGGGGGGGGGGGCATTTGATAAACTGTTCCCCTATGGTGTGTTATTTGTCTTGCTTATTCGATGATTTTATTGTTGAGAGGGGGCTTTCATAGTTTACTTGGGTTTGGTTTGTTTGGGTTGTTTTTTGGGGGGGTTCTTTTGTTTGTTTGGGATTTTTGTTGTTGTTGTTGTTTGTTTTTTCTAAGGGAGAGGGGTCTTGTTATAAGAGTTGGGGGAAGAGGGATACTGTTTTAATCTGTACTTGTAGCTCAAAGTTCTTTGTGCGGGAGGTTTGTGGGTGGTACGTTAGAGAACACGGGCTAGACCTTTCCCCAGGAGTTATTTTCATACGCGCCTTCAAGAGCCGGGTCCTGCCGAATGAATCAGAGTACAGATATTAAAGACTTTCGCTTATGGCATAAAATAACGAGAGGTGGTTTGGTGGAAAGTAGTAAAAGATGCAAATTTATCCTTAAGCGCTCAAGCTGCAACAGACATTAATAAGAAACAGGGAAGAAAAGGAGAAAGTAACGCTATACGAGATAGGAGTAAATCTGCCTCGCTAAAAGCCTTGATTGAAAATGCACTCTCTCTATGGGATTCCATCTGGGAATTTAGCGCTCAGGGGGTCTGCGCTGTGCGTGTGTGGGAACGTCATAATCGCTCCCTCGGTGTGATCTAGTCCGTATCAAGGGAAAAGGAATTCAATAAATGTTTTGGGGTTGGTTTATTAGGGGTTTTTTGCCTCGCAGGGTTTGTGTTTTTGGTTTCTTCTGCTTGCTTTCTTATTGTTTGTTTTTTATGTTTTGTTTTGTTTGGGGTTTTTTTTTGTTGCGGTTTTGTTCCGTCTCGCCTGTC